CATCTCTCTTCATAATAATTAGCTGATCCTTCCCTTTGTAAGCTCGTCTCCTTTATCTGAAGGCATCAGCTATCATATGAAAATAAAAAAAATAAAAATAAAAATCTGTAATCAATGATAAATTACACAACACAATCATAATAAAAAAATTTACATAACATAATGTGATCCCTCCCTTTTTAAGCTCCTCCCCTCGTCTCAAGGCATCTATGTTATATAAAAACAAAAATAATAGAAATAAAAATAAGTAATCAATGATAAATTATACAACACGATCATAATAAAAAATCATCATAAGAGATTACTAAAATCTCAATTGAAATAACTTAAAAAAATTCACACAACATAATCATCATAAGAGATTACTAAAATCTCAATTGAAATAACATATATCTTTAGTCTCGTCCAATACCTCAAAATTTTATACTGCAATTACCAAACCTTCTAGTTTACTAATGAAACTTCTTCCCATTTTTTAACTCGTACCTTACAGATTTTGAATTAAGTATCATAAATTTATTATTTATTTGAAATTATATAGAGAGACATTTAAAAGACTTCTATAATATATAAATAAAAATAAGGCTTATCATAATAAAATCAAGTTATTCCAATCATATTGTTCCAATGACTTATCACGTTGAAACCAATGTCATGTTAGAAAATATATGATTGCATATAAGTGCCAAAGGCACTTAAAATAAGTAGGAAATAGTGTCATGACCGTAGAATGGTACAAGTTATTAGTAAAAAATATTTTTGGAATGGGGATAATGTTATTATTATAAATCTTTTTAGAATGGTGTGATGATGATTTTAATTCAGTATTTTAGTGGAATTTTGTGACAAAAAAAAAGGAAATGATAATTCTGAATTTTAGTGGAATTTTGTGACAAAAAGGAAAGAAATGATAGTTTATAGGCACGTGCTGGTAAAATGTCGGTAATGCATTTCTTATATTTCTTCCGGATATAGCCAAACAATGACAATGTATTTATCAGGTTGCATCTAAATACTACCAAAACAGTAACAATCCATTTACAGGTAATGTATTACACGGTAATGTATTACGTCAGTAATAAATTTCACACACAATATATTTCCAGGTATCCAAACGGCCCCTAAATGTTTATCCGATGAGAACTGGCCCCTTGGCCTAAGCGATCAGGGTAACAAATTCCACATTGTGACATATATAGTTTCATTCTCACGTAAGTTAACATTCATAAATGAAAAATAAAAAGATCGGATGGATGTGGATCTCCCAACATGTATAGTTATAAGGCTTGTGGAGGCACATGGAAAAGGTATCATACATAAATGAGAAAAAAATCCACCTCTTATTAAAAAAAAGACAAAAAGACTACTTGTTCCAGTAATAATCATTCGATGTGCTAATCAAATCAATATTATTATTTGCAACATAACATATAAAGAGTTTATAAACAATTCAGGTAAAAGAATTGAGAGAATACAAGGAAACCATGACGCTATAAGTAATAAAGCTATCGCTGACCCTTCTTTTTTAAAAGTAGAACTAATCCAGAAAGCAGAGGGACCGATTTTGGGTACTTCACATGGGAGGGTGCATATTCCATAAATACCAAATTTTCTCCCTCCCAACTACCCAAAATTTGACCATCAATTCCAACCCAGTAAAGCAATTTAATTTATATGAAAGAAACAAATAAAGCATTTTAATAAATAGGATAGAAACAAAGCACTCTATTTTTGGCCAACTATAATTCCGGTCCACAATGAAACATACAAAGGTTGAATACAATAACCTTTTATCATATTTAAAAAAAATAAAAAAAAAAATAAAAAGGGGGATTGATCTATATTTTTTATTTGTATGATTTATATGTTGTTGGCAAAGATTGGTCAGTGTTTTTATGTCATAAATCCTTGTTTTTGACATTTTCCTTCTTTTTTTTTTGGTGGATTTTTAAGATGCCTCCAACTATAAATCTATTTTTCAATTATTTTTCAACTTATTTTAACTCCTTTAGGTTTTTGTTATATTTTGCTTTTAATATATTTTTTCTTTTTAAAAAATTGTATCTTTCTTTTTCCAATTTATCGAACACTTAGCCATATGTAGCTAAATCCTGAATAACTCGACTTAACCAATAGGCGAGTTCCTTGGCCAAAGCGAGTCTGAGTACACTGTGTGTTCTATACAAGAAAGTAATAATCGCCCATATCCATAACTATCACACTTGGAATCAAGCAGCTAGGTGTATGACATTTTCCTGCACACAGTTGAACGCTCAAAAAGATCTCATACGTTAAGAGCAATCCAAGACAACCCCTAGCTGCCCCAATTTATGGGTAATAAGGGAATTTCTTGTACCACAAGTAAACGGTCTAAATTTTATACCTTCACAAAAAATATCAATAAATATTTTTTTGGTAGAATTTTGCCGATCATTGAGCTTATATTGTTCAAGCTGCATTAATATAATAAAGGTACGGTTTCCATAAGGTTGTAACTTTAACCAATCCAATTAAGGCATACCTTCAAATTTTATCAGAACATGTAATTTAGGTGTAAACAATTTTTAGAATTATCTGAAAATCTATTTGTATATTTAATTATAAAATTTTAAACTCCAAAAATAATTAAAATCAAGTAGATTTATAAATATATGAAAATCTTGAAAATGGACGGTCTAGATAATGTATTGCAAGATGTACTATTTTTGGGGGGCAAGCTTTCTATGCTTCCCCTACAGCATAAAACTTTTATACTTCCCCCTATCCAACCATCCATTCTAAATGCATGGCTTAGATGGCCGCAATCACAATGTCACCCTCTATACTATTTTATTTTTTATTTTTTTATAGAAAACATTTTGACGCCAAAATTTTGGCGTCCAATCCTTCTTGAACTCCCACCTATAAAAAATATTCCCATTAAAATAAAAGTACTAGTGGCTCACTAGATCTAAATTGAACAGGTAGATGAAGGGGGAAGTATATATCTTTTATGTTGTAGGGGAAGCATATAAACCTTGACACAAAATCTTTTATTTTTTCGTATTCATACATCTTGATGTCGAGATGATCAATTAGAGGGTTTTCCAACATTTTTCGATGGATTTTTTAAGTGCATCTTTAATTCTACATTTTAAGGTTGCAATCTTATATAAACTTTTTTCATTTAATCATAATGGTGCTTTTTCATAGTATTATTGGGATTAAATTGGATCAAGGGCAGATCTGGTCTAATTAAAAATCGGTCTAATTAAAAACCGGTCAATCAAATTGGAAAAACCCCACTTTAAAAATAAGAGAAAACATTGAACAATAATATAAAAAAAATGTATACGATGAGACAATTTACTTTCGGTATAAGATCACAATTATCATTTACTGTTAGATTTGAAATCGGGTAGTTGAGGATGTGTTATTGTTTGGGCACAAAATCTAAACTACAATTTCTCGAATGTTGTGATATCTATTGGATTTCACTTCAAATAGCTAAAAGTGATTGTGATATCTTTGTACCAAAACTAAATCGTCTCATAATAATACAATCCAATGCAACCACACTTTTAGAAAGTAATGTTTGTGGTATTTGTAGGACCCAAAATTTTGCATACACAATCTCTTTATCTCAATAATCAATCTAAAAAAAAAAAAGTTTGATTTAAACCCTAGATATGGTCAAAATGAGTTACCTCCAACAATGAATCTCGACCATTCATTTGGTGAATTTCAAGATCTTAGCATTTACAAACTCAAAATAATGTTTTTCTTTTTTCACATTGTTGATCTACTGATGATATAGCTATCTAAAAAAATTGGAAAAGAAAAAGTCTTTCTAAGGCCTAGATCTAAGCATCTCACAAAAATAGATGGCCTATGTTAATTGAGCTAAAAACATACTTTCTAGCTTGTGTTTTCAATTTTTCCTTTTTTGTGGTTGTTCATTAGAATGAAAAGAGTGTATATTTCAAAATTTGGATAAAAAAAAAAAGTCCTAACATGATTTTTGAAGGTTGTTGCATCATATTATTATACAACTTTCATGAAATCATACCCGGTTGCATTATACTATGATATAAATAAAATGGGGTTTCTATGAGTCAGCCGACTCATATTGTACACATGCAGGCTCCCAATTAAACCATATTAATAATAGATTTTTAATCTAAAAATTTAGGGATTCATGATCTAGATTAAGACGATCATGAACATGAAAAAAAGAAGAATACGATCATGAACATGGAAAAAAAAACAATTGTACACGATATAAGCCCACTGAGTTTTTTACAACGTTGTTGAATCAGCAACCTCTTGCAATCATGAACGACTTTTTCCTAAAAATGTTACAAAAAATAAAATCCAACTTTGGCGCCCACTAACTCATGAACGATTTTTTCCTAAAAATGTAACAAAAATAAAATCCAACTTTGTCTCGTCAGAAAAAACTGGTCAAAACCAACTTCTCCAATAGACTAAATTGGTCAAACATGGGTTTTGATCGATTTTTAATCAAGGACACATGTTTTATACAGGCTAGCCCGCATAAAATCTCCACCCTCCAACCAATTTAGAGGGTGCTAGCCCGCACGAAACAATTTACCCATCAGACCCAATTGGTCCAATTCTAACTACGGAATTATGTTAATGAGAAATAGACAATGAGCCACTGAGCTGGGCTCATCTAGACCATCATTTAGTGAATGGGAATGATCTAGACCTTCACACAGAAATGTGGTCCCATACCAGTAACTATAGTCCATATTATTCTCATCCACAGTAGTAAGATCCAAAAGTCCAAATGGATTAAATCATTTCCCCAAATGAAAATGTTTCGATTCACGTGACAGTTTCCGACCCATTAAAGGCCTTAAAATTCCTCAAAAAAAGAGTTCTAATCCCGAGCCATAAGAATCCAATGACTCTGAATGAAAGTTGGTTTCTTGAAAGAAAGAGGAATCCACTATATTCATACATTCATACGCACGATACATAATAAAATTTGGAAAAGGACTCTACATATTTGACATTCGAGATAATATGACCAATAATCCCTGCAAATTAAATTGCAAAGTCAAACAAACAGTTGGGAATGAGCGGTCACTAAAAAGAAAAAAAATTTAAAAATACGACATGAATGATGAATAACTATAAAAGATAAAGCGACAAGGAAAAGTGGGATTTAACATGTATGACAAAGACACAATAGGATCCAAGTGGCCACAAAAATAAGGAAAAGGCAAAATAGTAATAATAATTTCAGTATATAAAAAAGAGCAATGTATTACAAAAAGTTGCCCAACATTATTAGTTGATCAGCTAAAATTATTTTTTAACGAGATTTCAACAAAATTTGGATATTATTTTGGATTAGAAAGTTGGTTGTGTTTTGGATCACACTAGCCAAAGACAAGACACGTTGAATTAATTGTGTGTATTGATAAATTTATCAAAAATAATTGAAAATTGGGAATAACAAATTCAATCCCAACTCAAATTTTCAGTTTTCACACGTTCACGAATGCCCCGCCCCCCTCCATGGGCATAACCGTGATATCCGGACCACTGAATGGCAATTAATTCTGCACTGCCCATCCCTGCGCAAACCCAAAAAGAGCAGGGAGTATAGTATCCACGAGCGAGCTTGTGTATGGGAGGGGGATTCAATTTTTTGCACAAAGGGCAGCAGGGAGTATAGTATCCACGAACGAGCTTGTGTATGGGAGGGGGATTCAATTTTTTGCACAAAGGGCATCAAGCAGCACATGGGCGAGCATCAGGTCCACAAAGTACTGGTGGCCCACGAGCCCATCGCGCCACCGGGCTCGAGCTGGGGCTCGGCCGTAGTGCACCCCATCGCTGCACCGGTTGTCATAGTGCCATGGATACGTCATATCGAAACCATCCACCACACCATTGACGACCCCTCGCTCTCTCAGCTTCTCCAACGCCATCCAATTGTACACCTCCATCTTGTGGGGGTTGAATGACAGGGCCCTGGCATGGCCCCCAGCTGCCACCGTGGTCCTATAGAACACCTCCACATGGCGCCCAACCAGCACCTCGGCCCAGAATGCGGCCGCCATCGTGGCCGCCTCGGCGAATGCCTTTGGGTTCCGGTAATTGACACCGTCGTGGAGGCCCGAGTTCATTACCATCGCATCGGGGACCGATTCTCCAGTAAAGTACGAGCGGAGAAGGTTCCGAAAGTTCTCGTTGTGCAGTGAATCGAGGCCGAGGTAGTTCGACGTCTCATTGTGGTGCCCGTTGAAAATGCTGGTTATCCGGACCGTCTCGGAGGGTTTGTCTGGGTTGGTGAAGTTCAGGTCGAACCTGCGCGCTACAGACGCTACATCCGGCCGGTTCAGCACGAAGTTAAGGAGGTTGCGAAGCGTGTCCACATGGTTCGAGTCACCCCAGAAGAAGATCCACCGATTCCTTAGACACTTCCATGCGTCTTTGGCATTATAAAGCCGGAAAGAACAGTGAGCCGAGTAAACCCACCCGTTACTCTCAAGCGAGCCGAGTGGACCAGAGCACCACGGCTTTCTGCACGGGTGACTCGGTCTCAGGCACCTAAAGCGGCCGGAAGCGTCAATCTCACAAGGCTCAGACCGGGCGAGTCTGGTCCAACGGCCCGACCACAACCCTCGCCGGAAATCCTCCTTCCCGCAAGTTTTCAGCGCTTCGGGGCCGTTGTTCCGGAAGCCGTTATTTTCAAATCGTAACGTTTTGTTGAAGACCTCTTTCCTAACGGCCCAACGCTCGGGAAAACGCTTCATGCCTTGATAGTTTCGAAAGAGGAGGACGATACTTAAAACGTGATCGCCAGCGAAATCGGGGTGGACTTGTAGAGAGAGGGTGTAGGAGCCGTTACCGTTATCTTGGAGGGGCGGCCGTGATTTCCAGGAGGCGCCGGAGAGGTCAGTTTCAAAGTAATCTCCGCCAGAGCATCGCGGTTTTCCAGCGATATCGTAGGCCGAGACGGCAAAGGTGTGGATTTTTCCGGCGGTGAGTCGCAGTTTCCCGGCAACTTCGAGGCCGGAAACGGTGACGGATTCCGTCTTGGTGTCACGGCAAAATGCGGGGGCCGTTGCTCCCGACATGCTCTCCAAAAACCTCGCCGTTACGTTATTTTCCTCAGGAAACGATATCCACTCGAAAACGCCGTTCTCTTCTGCTTTTTTTGCAAGGACACTAGCCGGAAGTGTCAGATTCCGCCCGTCTGACAACGGTAGAAACTCGTTGTGTGTCAGATTCCGGCCGTCCAATGCCGCAAAATCCTCCTGTTGGGCCTCTGAAGAAGCTTTAGATATTGAGATTACGCTCTCTGACAACGTTATGTTCGGGCTATCTTCACTTGATGAAATTACTGGAAATGTCAGGTTCCGGCCATCTTCACCTGGTGCAATCTCCGGAAATGTAAGATTCCATGCATCTTCAGCTGACATGGTCATTGGTAAAGTTACATTCCAGCCCTCTTCCACTGACGAGGTCGCCAGAAAAGTCATATTCCGGTCATCTGTTACTGCAGAATCAATCGGAGAAACCGGATCCTGCGGCTCTGAGGACGGAGAAACAGCCATCTGCGTCAGATTCCGGAGGGATTCAGGCTTTGTAGTGGCCGAGTGTGTCAGATTCCGGTGCGTTTTGAAAGGGGCACCGATGCTGTAATTCCATCGATTTTTCCACACCATGACTGCGTCATCAATGGAGGAACTATCAGCCGCCCATACAATAACAACGACCAAGAAGAGAACCACTATCAAACTCGACAGACTTCTCGGAATGAAGGAGCTAGAGCGAGAAAGAATTGGAACTAAGGAGGTAGAGCGAGAAAGAAGGGGAACTGGCCTTGAAAGGCTAGGAGACAGGCCCTTTTCCGGCATCTTTTTGCCGGAAAAAGGTTACAGAGAGAGAAGGTTCGCAGAGAGAAAGAGTAAAGCTTTAGGGCACAATCATTGAGAAATTCGACCTGTGATTCTCACCAAAATGAAGCAACGAAAGTGGCCAATACAAGCCCCCTGGTCTCTGAGAATAATCACCTATAAAATCAAGCACCTTTTCCCCCTGAAACTGGTTCTTCAAGCCCAGTAAGCTTCAGAACCGCTGTTTTTTTCTCAAAACTCGAAACCTCGAAAGCACAGAGCTCAAATCTTCATTATCTCACCTGGAGCCGCAAAAAAAGCTTCGACACTTATCCAAGCTTTGAATTCCAGGATTTTCCACTGGTTTTTTTCCGGCCAAATTCGAACTTGTTAAAAGCAGTTCAGCCCATTTCACAGCGCCAGTAACGAGCTTCAATGGCTAGGGTTTCAGAGCTAGGGTTTCGATTTTCACTTTTCCACTCTCCAAAAATTCACAGGGAAAGCCAGGAAACCAACTATAGAAATTCCATGCGATTGGACTGCATAAATACGATGGGATCACCGACGATTGAGGAGAGATCCTGACAAATTCGGACACCCTGTCGTGATAAGCAGGGGATATTCCATAATTGGAAAATAACAAAAAATTGAAAGAAATGATTAAGGTTGTTAATATTAGATGGAAGCTTCAATGTTTATTGGAAATTTAGTCAAAAAATAGTCATACAATCTAAGAATATCAATGAGGCAGCTAAAAGGTTGTTGATCTTTGAACAATAGCTAAAAGGTTGTTGATCTTTGAAAAACTATCTCCATTTAAGCATGGAAAAAAAAGTTGATATAAGGTTGCAACTTTAAAATATAGAATTAAGATGCACCTCAAAACCCTATCATGTTTTGATGTTGGAAGACCCTCTAATTAATCATCGAGATGTATGAATATAAAAAGAGAACAAAAATTTGAGTCCTATAAATAGTGTATCTTGCAACAAATTATTTAGACGGTTCATTTTCGAGTTTTCAAGATTGCCTAAGTGTTTATAAATCTACTTGATTAGAACTGTTTTTGGAGTTTAAGATTTTATATTTAAAGATGAAAATTGATTCTCAAGCCATCCTAAAAATATTTTACATCAAAATTTTATTTACAATAAAATTAGGAGATACGCCTTAATTTGATCGTTTAAAGTTGCATCCTTATACAAACCACACCCTTTTAAGTATAACTCTTCTTGATCTGTGCTCAAACTAATGATGCTGTGTACTTCAAATTCCGAATTAAGCGATGACACTTTGATAATTTGCGAGTTGAGTCAATTAACTTGGAAATCTACTTCTATAAATTCTGAACTAAAACATGCGTTACTGCAAATTTTGTCTAGCATGATCAAGAAGGGGAAATTGGTCTTTCAGTCCAATTCCAGGCCAAGGTGGTCAAGGTAGCTAATGTAATGCGTTACAAGTTTGATTCTCACCAGTTATCAATATTCAAAAGAAAATGAGGCTTGTGTAACCTTACACACTTTATACAAGTAAGGGGGGACTTTAAAATTAAAATTTTAAAAGATTGCGGATTGAGAAAATCTAAAACATTTGAAAATTTGTTGAAAATATATTATCTAAATAACTTGTTAGAAGATGCAGTATTTTAGGACTTTGTTATTTATATCCATACATCGGATTCAGCAAATCTATAACATTTGAAAAATCTTGAAAACACATTGTCTAAATAACTTGTTAGAAGATTAACTATTTTCAGGATTTTATTCTTTATATCCATACACCAGATTGAAAAAAAAATCTAAAAATATATGAAAAAACTTGAAAATAGATTATCTAAATAACTTGTTATTATCTTCAAGATTTTGTTTTTTATATCCATATATATCAACGTCCATATGATTGCTTTTTTAACTTCAAAACATTATTGTACTGGATTTTTTGAAGCACACATTATTTTTTTTGTGCATGGTTGCAACTTTATATAAACTTCTTCTAAAAAAGAAAAAACTTTAAAATACATATGCTAAAATACAACAAAAATACATCAATACATATCTTGTTATGTAGCTAAATATGATACTTTATTATTGTGCGCAGAAGCTCTAAACCCAATGGGTTTATTTTTGACAAATAAAGTATGAGAAATAAAGCATAAAATACATACTACTAGAACACAAAGATTTTGATTTTTGGTCAATAAAGTACGATAAATAAAGCATGAAATACATGCCGCAAGAACACAAATATTTACCCGATTCACCGCAAAAAGCTATATCCACGAGCATGACAAATTGAAATCTACTATTTATGAAAATTATATCAAAGATTTTGGGATATAAAGTTACCTCTCTAACCTCGACAAAAACCAAAGCGAGCCAACAACACCGATACAGACAAGAGAGCAACAATAAATTGACCTTCTCTTTAACTACAATAGGAAATTACCGAAATCTCTAGCTCTTCAATTTCTCTTTAACTAAAATAGGAAATCCTATTACCGAAATCTCTAGCTCTTCAATTTCTCTTTAACTAAAATAGGAAATCACCAAAATCTCTAGCTCTTCAATCTTGAGGATAAGAGAGCACCATCACAAAGTTTCTATACATTGGAAGAAGCTTTATTCTCTCTAAGTACAAATTCCCTACAGTTTCATCATATATATATATATATATATATATATATATATATATAAAGTTATGAATCCATAATAAATAGATAGCTTCTTATAAATATTACATATATCTCAACAACCACCAGATATATATCCAAGAGTCTTAATTTTTTTAGATTTTTTATTTTCTTTAAAAAACTTATCCATATCAATCTCAATCCCAAATGAGGGATTTCTTTACGTAATTGATTTTGGATAACACAAAAATATGCCTTGAGTTTGAAATTAAGAAGGACTACGAAGATTTAGATCATTCAGCTCGAGTGCTTGTCTCATTTTAGGGTTCGAAACTTTTAAGTTTCAAACTACTTCATTCATAATACAGTCGGTTCAAAACTTCAAGCTCTAAGCCTGATATCGATAACTGGTTTGAAGTTTGGTGTTTCGAACTTATGAAAAAAAAAAAAACACAAAAAATATGAGCACCAAGTACAAAAATATAAAAAAATAAATGTTACTGATTATAGGAAATACTAAGAAAAACTTCCTATATACACTGATTGAAATTTTTTTAATATAATTTAATAAATATAAAATTTTAATAAATGACGAAACTACTTCCACCGTTTTCGGTCAAAGTAGAAGTTGGCCTCAAAAATGTGCTTTAGTCCATTCTATGATGGGCACACTTCCGATATTTATGAGGATAACAGGCGTATTTTCTTTTGGAGTTTCCTTCTTAAGTCGTTGCCAAATCAATAGGTGGTATGGAAACGTGTCGAGATCTTGTGCCACGCGTTTTCAAATAGAGGGCCGAGCTTCGTTCTTGCACCTATTTGCGGACAGCGCCAAGACGACGGCGATGGAAACGGCGAGACGAAGAGGAGCGCCGTTAAATGAATTAATTTATTGATAATTAAAAAATAGGAGAATGAGGAAATAAATAAAAATAAATGAGAAATGAGGACAATTCGGCAATGGGTGGTTGAATCGAGTCGTTTTGTACACACACGGATCTCTTTTTTACCGATATTTTAAAGGAAAACGTTTATATAGAGCCTAAGCACTAAAGTCTATACAATCAAATTAGAGCCCACCTCAATAATTTTACTAGAAGAAGATGTTTTGATTTTCAGGTATCCTTAAATTGGTCATCTCGGCATTAAGATGTATGGACATAAGAAAAAAATAAATTTAGAATTTTGAAAATAGTATATATTATAACACATTTTTTTACTAATATTTTTCAAGGTTTTCGAGTTTTCATAGATTTGCTCCATCTATACTATTTTAAAGCTTTAAATTTTGTAATTAAAAATAAAAATATATTTTAAGGCCATTACAAAGAATTTCATTATTGAAGCCACATTTCTTGATACTATTTGACGGTGTACTTTACTTTGATTGTTTAGAGCCTCGGCTCTATGCAAATTGCACCATTTCTAAAAAACAAAAAACCAAAAAGGACACACAAATTTGAGATTTTGGCCGAAAAAGTCTGGCCGATTAACTCGGACTTGAGTATTAGTCAAGTTCGAGTAGTCTTAATTTGACAGGTCACCCTAGACATAGCCCTAGGGTATACGAATCGGCAGATTTATTGTACAAATCAACCAATCTATATATTAATCGGTACTAATCAACCAATTTACAAGATTAATTGGCAAATTATAAAAAATAATTGTGTGACTATGGCCTAAGAACTTCACACGGTAGTATTCCTACTTGGCAAGGAAAAATTGCTGCCCTTTTTACAGACTCCACCGGACGATGATTTTTTTCCAGTTAACTCTGATAGCAAAACTCAAAAAAATTCCAAAACCCATTATTGATATTACTACTTTTGAAGTATGTTTTTTACTATTGTGTAATATGTAATGGGTGTAGTTTCTATAATGTTGCAACCTTAAACAATCCAATCAAGGTACACATCAAAATTTTATCATAGCAAGTAATTTTGATGTAAAAAATTCTTAGGATTATCTCAAAATCTATTTTCATATCTAATTATAACTTTTAAACTCAAAAAATGGTTAAAATCAAGCAGATCTATAAACATATGAAAATATTGAAAGTTGATGGTCTAGATAATATGTTGCAAGAAGCATTGTTTTTGGGACCTCAAACTCCCTTTTTTTTTCCATAATCATACACCTCGCTTTGGAGATGATCAATTAGAGGGTTTTTCAACATTAAAACAACATTTTCCGAATAATTCTACATTTTAAAGTTGCAACGTGATCTGAACTTTTTCCATATGTAATTTCCTTTACTTGTTCAACGAAAAACTACCGCCTCAAGTGCCTAAATTTTTTGTCAAGAGTCCAATTATGTATGTAATTTTGTTTCACTTGTTTTATGTGATAATATAAAAAACAACACGTATAAAATTTCAACATTTTTTTACAAATTTCTTGTAATTTTTTTGGGTCTTTTACCCTCAGTTTTTTAACATTACAAAACTTAGCATTAATCGGGCCGGCTAAGTCAAACTCAGCCCGACTAATTGGCTCAAGCCATGACCAATTAGTCAGCCCGACTCGATCTTTCCTATACTAGATTTTGGAACAAGGGTAAGGGTCGTCTCAAGCCATGACCGATTAGTTGGCGCGACTTGATCTTTCTACACTAAATTTTAGAACAAGGTTATGGTTTGTTGGAGGTTCACATCTTACGGTGCACTTTTAAAATTTGAGTTCTGAATTCCTAATGGTGGCGTTAAAATTTATGATCAATTTTAATTATAAAATGAGTAATGATACTATGAGACCCTTCTACACCCATTTGAATAGGACCCCAAATGATCATCATTAAAATTTGACACAGATCTCTAAAAAAGTTATCAATATACCCATTCACCTAAGTCTCATACCTATGTAATAATTTTTTTAGATATCTATGTCAGAATTTAATGGCGATCCTTTGAGATCCTACTCACATGGGTGTAAAACAATATAGATCGAGCTTATCTATATACTCTTAAAAAATATTGAAAACAACCCTTCCAGAAAACTTGTTAAAATATGCATTATTTTTAGGATTGATTTTTTTTCTTTTTATATGAATTTGGTATTCGTATATCTTGAAGTCGAGATAA